AACGACTGAGAGTGTCCGGTGTTTAGAGGTTTCACTGTATTAATTTTGTTGGTAAATCGGTAGGCGTAAAAAAAAACCCAAACTGAAAAATACACCCCGGAAAAAAAGCTTAAGAAAATAAAAGTGCAATCATTGTAAATTGTAATATTTTATAAAATGTGGTTGATTGTTGATTATACAATGGATTTACAATCATATAATATTTTTATTTCTGTGATAGAATAATACATTTTTAACAGAACATAAGAACAAAATACTCACGTTTCTGGACTTGTGGTAACATAATAATATAGATTGTATTGTTAACTATCACACTTACAAATCTAGTGTTGAATTAACAACAAAATACTTATTAAGGGTTAATTAATAATCGTTTACTTGGATTAATTTACTCATTTATTAATACAATTATTAGAATCAATATTTAATAAAAAATGATTTTGACATTATAGCTATTTAAAATATAACTTATTTAGGTTGAACTATAAAGTTAATTCAGCTACACGCTGGTGTTACCTTTAACTACCCAAATAACATGATTTACTTGTAAATTCACTTAACTATACAATAATGATAATTAACTATAAAAAGCTAAGTTAAAACTATACAAAATTTAACTSAAGTTAAAAAGTTTAAAAAAAAAAATTGATTGTAGGCAGTGTTACTTTTACGCCGACCCATTAACAATCAATATAAATCATAAACATAAGATTTAAAGAAACTTTATTTGACATCGGAATATTAATATTAATATTAATATTGACATTACAAGACATGGGTAGAGGGATATCGTTCTCCGACCAGAATGGTCTTGAGTCTACAGAAAGACATCAAGTTGTAGATGAAGCACCTCCTACTATGGACGACATATTTGACGATGAAGAGACAGTTAGGGAAGGAGAATCCGGTAGCTCTGTAGAGATAGCTCAGAAAGTGGAGTACAAGCCTGCAGATATGGAAGAGAACGCTGATGATTTATGCACCTTTATGACTTTTGTATCAGCATATTCCATGAGATTACTGATAAAACAGAGCGCTAACATGGACAGGTCCTGGTCCCATATGGTCAACAAGTTCATAGGATTCTTCCATGGCTGTGAATCTCGGAATATGACGGTTCTTCCGGCCGCGTGGTCCTCATTGAAAACGTATTTATGTGCCTGTAGAAAATACCAGATCTCATGGGTCAAACTTGTGGCGGAGACAGAAGTGGTTTTACCTCCGAACTCTGATCCACAAGGACTGTTAAGATACCTTGGGACATTAGTTTTCTCTTACTCCGGGATGCACGCTTATAGCTTGTTCTGCCACTTGGTTTCAGTAACCGGAGTGAGATAYGATTATCTATTGAATCAGATGGACTACCCTAAGATGTAACGGACTACACACAYACACACAACAGTGCGGYGTCRGAGGTGGTAGGGTGGGGGTATTGCCAACCTTACCCTACAACTCGTTCATCCTGACTTAGGGTTGTCCTCAACCCAAAATCAGAAAGTTAACATACCATAACAAAAAAAATAACATAATCATAACTTAAATACATCATAAAATATCATAAATAGCATAAGTAAACATAACGTTATTTATAATAAGTAACATAAAATAAAACAATGTTCATAATATCATAAAATATCAAGACAATATAATTAATAATATAATACATAATTAAATCATAAATATCATAAAGAATGACAAATTTTTTTTTTTAAGATTATAATGATACAAAACAAAGAAAAAAAAATGATTTTTATAAAACTGTTTTTTTTTTTTTTTTACAAGTGCAAACAAATACTAATAGTCAAGTTGTACTGCTATTCAAGATGTGGTTGCCACATTCTTATATTACCAATAGATATGACACCTTCAGCCTTCCCATTTTTAGGAGCATAAGATAAACATTTTAGACATTTTGAAATATAATATTTAATTTTGTCCCTCATTTTTGGAAACCAATAAGAATTATTAATTAATGATAGTATTTTATCGATACCCACATGTCCTACATTATCATGGCAAGTTATCTATTAACTCATTAGGTACATAAAATAACAATTTTTTTCCATCTGTACAATAAACCAAGCCATCCCGCAATTCATAGTATGGAATATCCGAATTTTCTAACTTTTCGCGAATTGCAACAATTTGAGGGTCTGTTGATTGTTTAATAGATAGATAATACCTGTTCGAATGTATTTGCTTCTAATATTAATATGTTTTGCACTCTACTTAATGCATCTACATGACACATTTGTTTATTAGGGCGATGTACTACTTTATAATCATAAATTTGAAGAAACAATGCCCAACGCATTATACGAGGACAAATATCCTTTTTATTTAGTGTAAGCCTAAGACTATCACAATCAGTTACAATTGTAAAAGGCATATCTTGTAAATAAATATGAAATATTYTAAGAGCATAAATTATTCCCAAACACTCTAGCTCATAGCTGTGATATCTTGTTTCACAATCAGTAGTGCGTTTACTAAAATAAAATACTGGATGGAAGGTATTGTCATGTTTTTGTTTCTGAACCAAAACTGAACCAAATCCTAACTGGCTAGCATCACAGTGTAATTCTGTTTTTAATAATGGTGAATAAAGACATAGAACTGGTGGAGATGTTAAAAATGATTTTATCTTTTAAAATGTTGACAATTGATCCTCCCTAAAAACAAAGTCTTGATTTTTTTAAATAAATCATATAAGGGTTTAGCAATAATAGAAAAATTCTTAACGARCCGCCTGAAGTAACYGGCTAGTCCTAAAAAACTATGAACTTCTTTCACATTTTTAGGTATAGGAAAACTATGTATAGCATCAATATTATCTGGATTAGGTGTGATACCTTTATGACTAATCTCATAGCCTAAATAATRAATTTTAGTCTGTAAAAATGAACACTTGTCTAATCTTAATTGAAGGTGATTTTCAGTCATAATATCAAATACTTCAATTAATATACTAATATTCTCATCTATTGTTTCAGTACTTATAAGAATATCATCCAAATAGATCAAAATTTTATTAGAACTGACCAAAGAATGAAAAATATTATTAATATAAYGCATAAATATTGCAGGGCTATTGCAAAATCCAAAAGGCATACAAGTATATTCGAACTGACCCATAGGAGTTACAAATGATAAATACTTAACAGAGTCATTGTGTACTTTAACATGATAAAAAGCATTTTTTAAGTCTAATCTAGTAAAATATTTTTTATCTTTTAACATATCAAGGTGGTCATCAATTAATGGTAATGGAAATCTATCTTTAATTGTTACTTTATTTAATTCCCTGAAGTCTACACAGAGTCTAAGGTTACCATTTTTCTTTTTAACTAATACTATAGGAGTACAATACGGAGAAAAACTAGGTCTTATGATTTTATTTGTTAATAATTCATCAATTATTACTTTAAGTTTTTCTTTATCACTATAAGACATTCGCCTAGGTTGAAAATAAATAGGTGTGTGGTCTTTAGTTAACTTTACCTTCATTTCATATTGAAATTTTTTCTCTATAGGCCTTATTGCATTAGTATAATGTTTATCAAATATTGCTTTAACCTGTTCCTGCATATCAGCACACAAGTCACTATTAATATCTAATTGTAATGAATTTGACACACCAGYATCAATTAACATGATATCATCAACAATAAATTCATTATAAGAATCATTTTTTTCAATGAATAAGTTTTTATCAAATGTTAATTTGATTAAATTGTTATTAATACAATTTCTTCATAACAGACAATTATAATTCATARTATTATTATCAACAACATAAAATATGATATTTAAATCTACTGATAAATTGTTTACAGATATTTTTGTATTAATAACACCTAATACTTTTAATGGACTTTTATTAATACCAGAAAGTTTAGAACTAGCAGGGATAACAATTACATTTTTGGKAATAGAATTTTCCTTAATAATAGAAATTGGACTACCTGTATTAAACAGCGCAYCTGTGGTCCAACGAATTGTCTCACACATGACATCAATACCAAGCATAAATGGTGGATTACTTGTCTCATCGATTTCAATCATCATTGTTGAGTCCTCGCTGGTGCCTCGACTTGTTTTGTTAATTTTCATCTTACAGTCTCGTTGTTGATGTTCTGTAGATCCACACTTGAAGCATGACCCAAGCTTCCGTTTAGGTTCTGGACAATTAATAATAGTATGTGCAGTACTATAGCAATTAAAACAGTGCGGTGTCGGAGGTAGTAACTGGTAAGGTGGTGGTATTGCCAACCTCACCCTACATAATTAAATACTATGTATATTATTTAAAATATGTTTCTATAAATAAATGTAAATATATTATGTATAATATATTTTTTGGGCTATTTTCCCGGGGTGTATTTTTTAGTTTGGGTTTTTTTCCGTGGCYATTTTTTCCGCGATTCGATTTACAATTTATATAAATACTAATTAGAATGTTTGATTGCGCATTAACTCTATTTCTCCTTTTACCTTATTGAATACTTATTTGTTATCGCCCCGCCATAAATAAAATATAGTATATATAATAAAAAAATATACTCTACATAAAATGACTTATAAATAAAAAAAAATTTTAATATTTAATCCTGTATTTAATAATATTTAAATACCTATTATAAAACTTGAATTTGAGTAATGTTCTATAATATTATAAATGTAACTTATTGCTAGTCTACCGGTATAGTACTATAGTTTTTAGTTAATCATCATTCATGAGTGTCATGATCGACAACAGTAATAGTTGTAGATATTTTGATAAAAATATATTTCCGCCATCACAGAGTACCTAATAAAAGTTTCCAAGAAAATTATCCAGTTAAATAWTATTAAATTTTAAATTTTACCTATGAAATAGTTGTTTATACTTATGTAAACAAATAAAAATATACAAAGAACTTTGTATAGTTATTTATTTATGGTTTACGGGCTATGTCTTTTTTACAAGATTTAAACAACTGTTGTAATAACATGTGTGTAAAAGACAAGGAGATGTATAAACTTATTAAATCTAAATATATTACAAGAAGGAACAAAAATCTAATCGGGTTGATATCTTATTGGCCAAAATAAAAGCTCTTGAAAAGAATATACTATTTCCACTGCTGGTATTATACTTTGAAACTAAAAAAAGATCCAAGTTTCTTGTATATATACATGGGACGCAAAACCCAATTTCAGATAGTAAGTCAGGACAGTCGATGAGGTTGTTTAAAATATCATTAACTTATTAATTTGATACTGAAATATAAATTGGATTTTTATTACTTGTAAAAGATGTTACTTAGCATTTATTAAGTAGAAGAAGATTTCGTTCACTCCATTGAAAAAATTTATTTAGATTGGAYTGTAACCTATTTGCATCATTGATTGATTTAATGTCTTAGTATAATTTTGCATTATCCACAAACATATTAATGTTACCATCAATGATCAATGGGAGATCATTGATAAAAATTAAGAATAGTATTGATCCTTTGCACTATTCTTAATTTTTAGCCCTGARGAACACCCAAGGTCACATAATTGTTCAAAAACGAAGTAAGCGGCTTTTTTTAAGGGTTGAATCTGAATTGTAGTGTGCTTATAAAATTATTATATTCAATGCATATTTGCATCTTTGTCAAAAATAAAAATAAGAGTTAAGAGAATATCTATAACTTATATTTTTTTTACGAAAATACCATGACAATAATCTTTAGGGCTAGACTAGATATGTTTTTTGTATAAAAAAAGAGTTCAAAAATCAAAATTAAAAATTGCATGTGGATATTTTTAATTGTTTTCATTCATGTTTATATATATTTTTTCATATTTTGTTAATTTTAAAATAAAATGCTTAGGTATTTCTCAATTTATTTTCATTTATAATTTTTTTGTATATATGTCAGTGACATACTTACAAGGAGGGTATTAGAAAATACATTTAGATATATAAAAATCAATAACATTTAAACATATACATATTTTTATATTATCTCTCCCTTTAAATATGTCTGTCAATACCACTAACAATTGTACCTTATTAATTATTAAATATATTATGTAGGTAACCAACAGCACAACATGAATGTAGACCATAGTCTATTTTTCTTAAAAGTTATATGAAAAATAAGTTAGTAAAGATAGTGTTTCTATTATTTGTTTAGTGGTAGAAGTTTTTAGATCTAGCATCTAGCTCTGCTCAGAATAAGATTTCTTTATTTTCCAAATTATTTTATTTTGAAGTATACTAAATGTATTTAATATATCAACTAAGCAATGATAGATTTTAATTTTAAAATAATAAATACACMAAAAAATTTGAAAAAAATCGTAAATAGAGTAATTATAAACATTATCTTTTTTTTATGAACACAACACCTATGTAAAATTATAATGTACTTTATGCATTTGTAAGATGAAATCAATACAATAAGCATGTAATATAATTTCAAAATAAATTTGTATTTTGATTATGTTTAGTTATGGAGGTAATTGTATAATATAATTTATAACCAAACTTTATAAATTAAATAAAAATGTTTTATATAATAACAATGTTTACGCCAAATCATAATATGTAAAAATTAAATGAAACACTTAATACTTATAGGTACCTACATCTATGATTGTAAAATATACATTTTTATCATGCATTTTATTTATAATTTACAATACAACAAAATTTTAATGTTATATGTATATAAAAATGTGTTACAAAATTAAACAATAACTACTTATCATAATGTCACATTTTAATCTTTATTATATTAGATTCAATTTGCTATTTTAAGCTGTGCTTTCATTAAAATTTTTTGAATTTTGTGTTTTGCACTTAAATAAACCTTTCTATGAGAACATAAATCTCTCATTTGAACTGCTATAAACCTGGCAAATGAGTCTGCTTCATCATTGTTTATAGATTTTTTATACTTTTCTTGTTTTTGAAACCTTTTTTTTTTCAAAGTTTTGAAGTATAATGAATAAATATCTTTAGTGCGCCGTTGTTTTTTTAATTTTAAGGCCATAACTTTCTTAAAATTTAAATCAGCTGTTGTTTGATCAATAGTCTGAAATTAAGTTTATTAATAAAATAGAATATATTTATATGGGGCATAATTATAGACCTTTTACTAATAGACTGGCCCTCTTCAAATTTTTACTCTCAAAATAGGTGGATAGGTGGCACTTTTCAGTTACTTGAGTTAATCAGATATGTTAAATTATATATATTTATATTTATTTAAACTAAAGAAACTGCATCATTGTGTCATGTCTGCATGCGACTATCAACATATTTGTTATTAGATGGGCTGGTCTATGAGTAAAAGTCTATGGATATAATTATAGAGTCTTACCATATTTAATGATTCTTCAGGTGGTTTTTCATCTGGGGGTGTTAAAATTATTGGTTCAGCACCTTCCTTGAAGCTGCTTGTAAACATGTAACTAGAATGTTTCAATTTTTAATCAGTATTATTTCTAGAAACCAATTTTGTATATTAAAATATATGAAAAGCATACCATTGGTTTTCTCTGTTACAAATATCATTTTTTAATTCATRGTTATAATCTTCATATTCATTTTCTACGGTCTCGTCATGACTAGCATTATCTCCGTTATCATTACTATTCTCTAAGTTCAAAGAATGAAGATGATTATTTTGATGTTCATCCTTTGAATTGTTCACACTGTCATAATAAAGTTGGACAATCTCAAAATTTTTACCACTAGTATCCTGTGTAATATAAAAATGTATGTAAATAAAAAAAAGCTAAAAAAAAATACACACTTAACTATTAATTAAATTATTAAATTACCACAGGGTTATCTGTTAAAGATTTATTTGTTTGCTCCTCATCATTGCATGGATTTAATATCTTCTTTTTTTGGTATCTCTAAAATAATATAATTATACATATTTATTGAATGTTTTTAAGTTTTATATCAATTATTTTAAAATATACCATAACATCTACACGGTATTCAATTGTTGGGACAGATGTTGTTTTCAAAACATTTTTTCCATGGCCAATTATGTATTCTGAATTTTCAAAATGATTGCCACACAATCTACTACTTTTACAAGGTTTCCAATCTTTTTCCCTACCGGTGGCAGCTATCCACATGGGTAATGTTTCTGGATTTGACAGAGGAAACCTAAATGAAAAAGATAAGAATGAAAACAATTGATATAGGTGATCCAAATCAATAATATATGTAATTTACTACATAAACCTCTGACCTCCAAAACGGAGGTAGTTGGTTTCTAGTAGATTACCTGTGTAATCTAACTTTGACATTGTCCTTCGTATACAAGCTTTTGCAACCAACCACGCTGCACTTATTCACCATGTCAATCGATTTACTTTTAATTTATAAAGTTCTTAAATTACCTTCGAATTGTGAAACGTAAACGCTGACATTCAGCTGATCACTTTTGTACCTAATTCTTTTGTTTTCAAATTTTCACGACGGGCCATATTTTGATCATTGTACGGCATTCGGAGTATACATTTTTATCAATTATTAATTATTATCCGACAACGCCATAATTTCATGGAATAAAAATCAAACTATAGTTTATTTAGGTTATGATCGTGGTCTTATCCATGCCTTGTGGTATGACAAAATAGGTGACGTATCACCCTAAATCCCCATGGTTATCTAAATCCCCTTTGGTAAACTAGATTCCCTGTGATAACTAGATCCCAACGAGTCAATTAATTCCCCTGTCAACTAAATCCCCTTGGCCATCTAGATCTTTATCTATATAATATAGTCTTTAAGATCACCAAATTTATATTTCCCGCTAAAGATCAAAATTAGCAAAATTAATTACATTACATATTATAATTTATTTATAATTCACTRTATAGGTATTATATTATCCAATATTCATTAATTTTAATGTATACTAAAATTTATATACAAATACAAATAAACAATCATGTAAAATTGCATTTTTCAAGTCAAAAATTACAAATAAGTTGTACCTATAATATTATTGTGTAAGTCCAACCTTATCAATAGTATTTAATATGTAACTTATATAACATGTAAATAATTTAGAGTTGAACTCATTGTTGCCAATGGCTATAATAGTTGCCGAGGCTTAATTCAAATAAAAAAATATATTATTGTAATAATATCTTCATCCTAATCACATAGAAGATAGAAGTTACAACGATTTACATATTAGTGTACRCCAAAGATGGCCATTAACTAGTTAAAAAGTTAAAAAAAATTAACTAGATAGTTTATTTTCTAATCAACTTATGAACTTAACAAGTTTAATGTACAGTTGAAATAACTTAGCTTTTCTCAGTTGATTTTAAAAAAATCCATCAAGTTAAAAACATTTTGAAATTTTTCGTTTATATGGAAAT